TCTCCGCGCGCCCTCCGCCGGCCCAGCCCGGCCGGGCGCCACCCCGCCCCGACCAGCCCACGGCCGCGCACCCTCAGGAACACGCAGACAGCTCTCGGCACCCTTCGACCCCCACTCCCGTCACTCTGACAACCCACCACAGCCATACTCGGTCCACTGGGACGGGCACACACCCCTGTGTGTCTCACCCGTAGGCAGAAGCCCGGACTGAGGCCTTAAGTGCGAAGCACTTGTCACTGTCCCAGGGGGCAGACACCTGGCTTGAAGCCAGAGTGATGCTGGGAGAGGGGCTGTAGGGGTCCAGGCCAGGTGCACCGGGACAGTCTGTGGACTCCTGGGCTCCTGGCTCTGGCTGCTACTCAACTCATCCTGGATGCCTGCCTCTGTGGGGACTGGCAGTGGCTCACCAGGTATTTGCTGATGGCCGCCTGCCTCCTTCCCTGACAGAACGGTGTTAGGCCCTTGGGGACAGACCAGAGACACAAGCAGCTCTCCAGGCCCAAGTGGGTCAAGGGCTTTCACCAGCAACCCTGGGACACAGAGCCCAAGCCCCCGTGCATCCCACCAAGCCCAAGGCTCCAGTTCCAACCCCCAACCCAAGGCCGGGCTCAGACCACAGACCACACTCAGCACCACAGCTTCCTTGCAAAAACCCTCAGCTCACCAGAGGGTCAGTGGAAATTTATTGATTTTTTCTTTTTTTCCTTTTCCATCTTTCCCCAAGTGGCTTTTCCTTGCAAAATGCCTGACATGACACCAGAGGGGAACGTGGGAGTGAGGCGCACCCCAAGGGGCAGCCCAGAGACTTAAATACAAGCTGGAGGGCAGGGCACAGGTGGGACAGGCAAGAGACAGCACAAGGGACATGGCTTCTTAGGTAGAGACCAAATGTTTGTTTTTCTGCAGGAAGCAGCTGTGTCAGAGGGCAGGAGGCTAGGATCCTGGGTGGAGGTGGCGGTGAGCAGAGAGGCCCCCTGCCCTGGGTTGCACCCACATTCCCCAGAGGAGAAGTAGCCGCAGGGAATGAGGATCTGCCCTCTTAGGCTCCAGGGGATGGAAAGGGAGAATAAGCCAGATGTGCTGCCTCAGGGAAAGGGAGGAAGTGCTGGCAGAATGAGGGTTAAGGCTGGTGCCTGGCCTCTGGCACGGTGAGCCTTCCGCCTCCGCCTGCCATGGGGACAAAGGGGCACGGTGGGCCTTCCGCTTCCGCCTGCCATGGGGACAAAGGGGCACGGTGGGCCTTCCGCTTCCGCCTGCCATGGGGACAAAGGGGCACGGTGGGCCTTCCGCTTCCGCCTGCCATGGGGACAAAGGGGCACGGTGGGCCTTCCGCTTCCGCCTGCCATGGGGACAAAGGGGCACGGTGGGCCTTCCGCTTCCGCCTGCCATGGGGACAAAGGGGCACGGTGGGCCTTCCGCTTCCGCCTGCCATGGGGACAAAGGGGCACGGTGGGCCTTCCGCTTCCGCCTGCCATGGGGACAAAGGGGCACGGTGGGCAGGCAGTGCATGGGCCTGGCTCTGGCAGGGCAGGGAGCGGCAGGAGCAGGCTCCCTCTGGGCTTAAGACACAGGCCCAGAGCAGCTGCCCGCCCACCTGCCTAGATGTGCTCAGACCCCACCACAGCTGGACGGCTGGAGCTGTTAGTGTGGGAGGGAAGAGAGGGGAGAGGAAAGGGTGGGCTGCTATACCTGTGGCCCCCATGCCCATCCTGAGGTCCGGCCCAGGGCCCTGGATCCCAGGTCCCGGATCCCATGGCCACACTCCTGGTCCCAGGCATTAACTGTAGCCAGGGGCAGTGGAGGCCAGAGAGTCCCTCAGCTCTTGGAAAGCTGGGAGAGAAAGAAGAGGAGGAAAGAGAGAAACCCAGTGCAGCATACATGGGAGCTGGGAGGCAGACAGACAGAGAAGCCCTCGTTCCAAAGAAAGGTATGTGGTGGGGCATCTTCAGTTACTAGAGGCAGCAGCAGAGCAAGTCCCTGCCTTACCCCAGCCACAGGTCCTGGATATCCTCCCTTGGGGGCCCTGACAAAAAGGGGGCTCAGGGCAGCAGGCAGATGGGCCAGAGGGAGATGGGGAGCCCAGGACACCCCAAAGCCACAGACTCAAATGCCCCAGGAGAGGGAATGGGAGGCATCTCCTGCCCCCTCCAGGGGCATCATCTGGAGAAGGTGCCCCCTCCTGTCCCACCCCATGTACCCCTCCTAGCAACAGCCACCACCAGCCGGCTTCACAGGGGTGCTGTCGATCTTGAGGTTGGGTCGTTCGCCCCCTGAGGCTGCCCCAGGCCCCATTCGCTTTTTGATCTCAGCAGCCATAGTCATGAACGCCTGTTCTACGTTGGTAGCGTTCTTGGCACTCGTCTCCAGGAAGGGGATGCCCAGAGAGTCTGAAAACTCCTGCCAAGGGGAGAGGAGAGAAAAGGAGAGGAGGAAAGGGTGAGGGGCAGCGGGAGCCAGCCCACCCTGGCAGCCTGGCCCAGGCCCTGCTCACCTTGGCTGTGGTGTTATCCACCACCTTCTTGGTGGTCAGGTCGCTTTTGTTGCCCACCAGGAGCTTATTGACGTTCTCGCTGGCGTAGCGGTCAATCTCCTGCAGCCACTGCTTCACGTTAGCATAGGATTCCTAGAGGGACCGAGGCCAAAAGTTATTTTGCTCCCAACTTCCACCTCTACCCCAGACCTGGAGAATAGGGGCTTCTTTAAGGGGAAGGGGCTACCCTGAGGCTGAGAGAGGTAGGAGCCGTGGGCCCTGGGACCCAGAAGAAGCCCTCTCCTCCTGGCTTAGCTTTTCCCTGCCCTCCTGTCTGGGACCCTAAAAGCCAGGCGCAGCATGGCCCTGGCAGTCTGCCAACAGCCCCCCTTAAGGACCAGCCAGCTCTGCTTCCTGTGGCTTCTCTCTCCCTGAGACACTTACAGGCCTAACTACATGTGGGAAGCAAATGGTATCAGAAGAGAGACAGGCCAGAGGGGAGACAGGAATAGACAGTAACAGGTTCACAAGAATCCCAAAGTCCCCACAGTGGCCTTAAAATTCCTTTAAGGTTTGCAGCCTTGCAGTCCAGCGGGAGGTGGGGGGTCCTCGTCAAGGAGGCCCTGGCTTGTGAGGGAGACAGGTATCCTCGGAACAGAGCCTAACATTTGTCCTACTTTTGGCACCAACACCTTCATCACCCAGCCTCAGATTCAGCCAGCAGCTTGCCACCACCCGTCTCCTGTGCAAAGGATAGGACTTTCAAGACAATACTCAAGCTAAAGCCATGTTTTCTTCTTAGGGGGCCAGAGGCCTGGTGAAATCACACTTGCCTCAAACTTACACCTCCTGCAACACCCCAAGTTGGGTTCTGTGCTGGGTACTGGGGACAGAGGGGAACCATACCAGAGCCCTGCCCTAAGGCATTCAAAGAACAGTGGAGGAATAGACCAGGACACACATAGTGGCAAGACAGCACAGAAGGCAGGAGCTGGGGAGCGCCAGTGCCAGGGGAGGCTACAGCTGACCTAAGCCTTCAGGGTGTGGGGAGAAGTGGAATGTTGATGGATACAGGCCCTAAGCAAAGAAGGGGGAGAGAGGTAGGCCAGAGCATGGGGTCTTAGCTTGGCTAAGTCTTGGACAACCAGGGACCAGTGGACATTTTCCTAGGCAGGGAAATGCAGAATCACACCTGCATTCTGGAAAGAAAGTCCTGGCAGGAGTGCAGAAGCCAGATCAGACAGGCAAGAAGATGGGAGACCAACTGGAAGGTGGTCGGAATAGTCCAGGGAAGAGAAGGCATGCCCTGAGCCAGGGAGTGAGGCAGGATTTAGAATCAGACCATCCTGGTTGGTAAGCCCTGGCTCAGCCATTTACCGTGTGACCTTAGGTATGTCACCTGACCTCTGTGAGCCTCAGTTTCCTCATCTCTATAAAATAGTACCTCGCAGGGCTGTTGTGAGCATGAGAGAATGAAAGCAGGCCTTTCTCCATAACAAGTGCTTAATTAGCAAGAGCTGCCATTATCCTCATCACTGCTATTATTATGAGGGGACAGATTTGAGAGAGATGATGGGGAGAGAATAGAGGGCCCTTGTGACTGACTGCAGTGGGGAGGGAAGAGTGTTCTGGTCGGGCTGACAGGGATTCTGTTCAAAGACGGGGATGAAGGAGCTGGTTTGGGGAGGGATGGTGAGGCCAGAGTAGACACATGTGCGTTCTGCAGATGGTCTGTAGCACGGGAGAGGCTGCCTGAGGGCAGGAAAGGGGGTGCTCAAAGGCCAAGACCCCTGGGTCCACCATTGGCTTTGCCCTTCCGGACTGTGGAGCAAGTTATTTAACAAACCTCTCCAAGCGGATCCCCTCACCTGGAAAACACCGACTCCACCGTTTAGTTCACTGGATGAGACCCTGAAGATCAGAATTAACACAGACATGGACACAGAGGCTGGGATCCACAGTGACAGCTGTTTAGATGAAGGAATCACAGAACACAAGACAGAAGCCAGGCCATGAAAGTGGCTGGAACTGTACAGGGAGTGGAAAGAGGTGGCTTGGGGCAGAGTCAGGAAACACAGAATATGGGGCTGGTGGGGGCAGTACAGGATGGAAAGTAAAAAGACACAGAAAAGACAGAATTGAATGCAGCAAGAGGTGGGGGAGCTGAGGACAGTAAGATTTTCAAGGAGAGAGAAGAGAATGGAGGTAGAAGCCACAAGAGGCCAATCAGGGTGAGAGTGAAATGAAATCGTAGGACTTGGCAGTCAATAGGGCCTTGGTGACCTATGTCTGGGTGGGACACAGAGCATGATGAGTCCCTGGGAAGCCGAAGAGCCCAGAGGTCCCTCAGAGAAGGGACTCCTCCTAGCCCAGGGATGATATAAGCTTCTCTGCATCCCCAGGGCCTGGCCCCCATTAAGCAGCAAGGTTTGGAAGGAAAAAACAAAGCAGGTGGAATCAGCAGACTAAGTCTTCTGCCTCTGCCACTGAACTAACAGGAGGATCCTCAGCAAGTCACTGCACCATCCTGAACCCAACTCCTCATCTGTAAGATGGCAACACAACACAGACCTCTTACTAGCATTAAAAGGCAATTTGAAGGCTGTGACAGGTTCTGTAAATTATAATGTATGGTGGCACCATTTCTGGCTGTTGCTATCATCACTGCTGCCAGTGACACGTGACTAAAGCTGCCACAGCAGACACAGGGCTCAAGACCTCTGCTCACACTGAGCTCAGAGCTCCCTCATCTCCTTGTGTAAGGCCCTCCGATTGCTCCCCCACAGCGTCTTCACAAAGGAAGCCATGGGCCCAGCACAGCACCCAACCAGCTGACTAAATCTCCACAAAACACTGGTGCCTGGAAGGTCTATAATAAGGTGGCAACTTTAGCGGGCAGAGGAGGTGTGAGGCCTGGTTCAGCCAAGACCCTGCAGCAGGGCCTCAGGAAGACCCATCTCTGTGCTTGTCTCCCTCCTTGTGAAATGAGTCTGGGTATAGTCTCCTTTCCAGGAAGCATCAGGGAAGAGAAAAAAAGAAGCAAGAGTCAAAGACCTAAGGCTGAGGAGGCAAAGCTGGGGATGGTGACTCTGGGAGTACCTGGTCGGTGACATCATATACCACAATGATGCCATGAGCCCCCCGGTAGTAGCTGGATGTGATGGTCCGGAATCGCTCCTGACCAGCTGTGTCCCACTGTAAGACAGTAGATAGAGGGGCAGGTCAGCCCTGGACTCCATACTTAGAGCTTCTCCCCACCCAAGATGGATGCCTTTGTACCAGGGGTTTTGGAGAGAGTGACACTCACGATCTGAAGTTTTATTGTTTTGCCATCCAGCTCAATGGTTCGGATCTTAAAGTCCACCCCGATGGTGCTGATGTAGCTCTCTGTGTATGTGTCATCCTGGAAGGTGAAGGGGACAGTGATACGCATGAGTGAACGGGCCTGAAGCCCATTTGGAAAGCCTCCCTCCCGCTTCCTGGCCCAGCTGAGCTCCTAACTGCCAAGCCCCAGTTCTCAGCACCCCAACTTGCCAGCCCTGTGTCCTTATTCAGTCAGATGTGTTGCTGGCAGGTCCTGCAACTTCACCCTTGGTTCCCAGGTCTTACAACTACTGTGCTCTGGGTTGCCCCTTCTCCCCCCAGCTGCCAGCCAGGACCCCAGATTGATGGTATGGGAAGCCTCTTACTCACAGCAAATCGCAGGAGCAGGCATGACTTGCCCACGCCCGAGTCACCAATCAAAAGCAGCTTAAACAGGTAGTCACTGGAGAGAGAGGACGGGATGGCATGAAGGAAGGCAGGGAGCCCACCTGCTATCATCCTGGAGTCACAATTACAGCACCCCCACACCATGAGGCACACCTTGGTTTAGAGTACTATTGTGCTCACCAGATCCGCCCACCAGTGCTGGGTGGGGGAGTGCTGACACCCCTCCCACCACCCCATAACTCAGCTAGCTTACTGAGTCTGACTTCCCCCTTATGGAGAACGAAACTGAGGCACAGGGAGGGACATGGCTTGCCAAGGACCACAATCAGTTAAGTGACAGAGCTGGGCATCCTACCCTGATTCTTGACAGACTCCGTGGTCTGTCCAGTAAGGGCTACTTAGGGAACTCCCAGTACACCCTGTATGGTGTGCCTGGCTTGGCAGGGGAGGCCCAAAAAGTGGAAGCCAAGGCTCAGCCCAGAAACTATTAAGTGAAAAAGGTATGTACAGAGCCTGACATGAAGTCACCAAGAAGTGGTCAGCAAGAGGCAACGGAAATCACACTTAATATCGAGTCCCTACTTATGACTGGCCCTGTGCGAAGTACTTCAAAGGCATCATTTCACTTAATTCTCACAACAGTCCGATAAAGTGAATTTTGTTATTCCCAGCTAATGAGGAAACCAGAGATCAGAGAAGTGACCTGCCCTAAGTTACACAGCTGATAACTCTAAGATTTGAAACCAGGTCTGTCAGACTCCAAAGTCTCTGTGAGAGCCTGTTGGTTCCCTTCTCTTCTCTGTTCCCCCTTCTAATCCAGCTCAGCGCTTCACCCTTCCCCAAAGAAATCTGAGTCCTGGATCTGAAGGAGAAAAAGGAAGAGACAGAAGAGGAAGAAGGTAACTGCTACTTGGGGAAAACGAGAAGTCCAGGGCAAGAGATGTGGGCCACCTGCCCGCAGGGGAGTAACCAAGAAGTGTGGAGAGTTTGGGGAAAGAGGGGAGACGAATTCCACATTCATCTAAACTTCATCGGGAACGTGACAGCGAAGGAAAGGGGTGTGACAGTGGCGTGGGGCTCTCAGCAAAGGTGAAGAGGGGACGGAAAAGGACGGGTCACCGAGAGCGACAGGACAGCACGACCCAGGCGAGGCGGCCGCCCCGCAGAGGAGGACCCGCGGCCCCAGCGGTGCTGCGGGGCCTCCCGCGTCTGTGCAGTCTCTGGCCAGCTCCGGGAACCGGGCTCTACGAGAAAGGGAAGGGCAGAGGGACTCACTGCCCAACATAAGGGCCCGAGTCTGAACCTGAGACCAGAAACTATCGTGACGGGCTCCAAAACGCCGGGACCGTCGTCAAAGCAGCAGGGGAAACTGAGGCCTGGAAAGACCGGGGCTGCGGGTCGTCTGACCGATGAGGCCTGGTGGGGCCGGTGCCTCGCACTCCAAGTGCTGCCCCTCGGGGTCGCCGCTTCTGGGCCTCGGGTGTGAAGACTCGGGGTGTCGAGCTAGGGTCCTGGGGCCACCGGGGGGAGGGGCAGGACCCGGATGTGGGGGGGTGTCAGCGGAAGAGGGACCCGGATGTGGGGGCGCCGCGCAGTCCTGACCCGGGCTAGACAACCCCGGTAAGCGTCCAGCCCCGTACTCGGGATCGAGGCTGCGCCGCACGGCGCGGGCGGGGCTCACTCACTATTCGGGGTTCATGGCGGCGGCGGTAGCCCGCTCGGTCGCTCCCAGTCAGCTCTGCTCCGCCTCCCGTTCCAAGATGGTGGCCGCTCCGCCCCAGAGGCCCCGCCCGCGACGCGCAGGCGCAAACATTCCCGACTTGGGCCTCGCCACGCTGCTTCTCGGAACTTGTAGTCTCCGACGTTATCCAACTCGGCTCCGCTGAGCAGGCGTAACCCGGCGAGCCCGAGCCTGCGGGCCACGCCCATTCCTGCCAGCGCATTGCCTTCTGGGGCTTGTAGTTCGCTTCCTAGAAGTACCTTGGGCTGCAGGACTGTGCTCGGGAGCCCGACTGCGACTTGGAGTTTGGGAGCTTAATTTCGGGCTGGGCTTGGTGCGTTTCACGTCTGTCTGATGGAGGCAGTCATCCATACCCTCCCAGCTCCCAGGCTGTGAGCACTAAATGAGAAGATGAGTGCTAGTAACAGACTAGAGACTAATAAAAGTTCGTTTATCCGGGGTTTTCCGTGTGCGGGGCTCTCCTCACAATCGCAGCCTCAGGAGGACGTTATAACCCGCATTTTATAATGAAAAAATCGAGTCCAGGGAAACTCGCTCAAGGTCAAACAGCTTAGTCAGGAGCGGAGCTCATCAATGCCCTTACTCCCTAGAGCCCTAGAGGTTAAGGTTTTAGAAATCCTGAACCCGCAGAGCCCCAGACAATTCCGGATAGCGGCAGAGTATGTGGGATCCACTGGCGCGGGGCAGCACGTGAGCGAGACCCCTCCCCCCGCCACGCAACCTCTCCCGACCCCACCCCAGTCTAGAGACGCTGGGGGACCCTCGGCCTCCGCCTCGAAACAAGCCGGGCTCTGATTCAAACCGTCTTTATTTCTACAGCAAAATCTGAAAATAGAGAGCGACCGCCTCCTCCCCCGACCGGTGCAGCCCTCCTGCCACCAGGGCCATCGCAGCCCTTCGCGAGCAGCTGTCGGCTGGGAGGCGTGGCAGGAGGCTGACGGGCGGCACCCGGGGCGGGGCCGGGCGCGAGGGACAGTGCATAAGGCCGAGATGCGGAGCAGGGCCCGGCGGGGTCCTGGGGCACGGCGATGGCGGGGCAGGGCGCATCCCTCAGAGGCCAGGAGAGCGCGAGGTCCAGGGAACCCTTTGGGGAGGCGCCAATCCGGAGAATGTGGAGCCTGGGAGACACCACCGCGCGAACGGCAGTGATTAAGGCCTGGGCGGTACCACTAGAGAAGGGCGAGGCGAGGGGAGGCCCGGGTAGTACCGTGGACTGACGGGAGGGGCGCGGCCAATAACTTATTTCTCTATATACAGAAGCAGCGGCCGGGGGGTGGGCAGGGGTACTGAGAGGACGCAGGTACTTAGTGTTCTTGACTCTGGGGTCTGGGGAGGGCGGGCCACTGAGTCTCCAGTCAGCCCTCCCGCTGGCCCTGACTTAGGGAAGAGGGGGTTCCTCGGAAGGAATAAATAAGGGGACGAGCTGGAGCGGGCGGGCCCAGCCTCCAGGGCTCAGGCTGAGATGACAAGGGAGGAGGTTACCCTGAGATTGAACAGAAAAGACGGGTCCTTGGGAGAGACAGGCAGGACAAGCAGCGGGCCCATGCGCAGGGCTGGGGTGGGGTGGGGGTGGGAGCCCGTGCCAGCTGGAGGCTCTGGCTGTCCCTTCAGGATTAGCCTACGAGGGAGCTTCGTCGGGAGAGGTCCATGGAGCTGGAGCTGAGAGTGCGGCTGTCAGAGAGCCCCTTGCCTCCAGGCTGTGGGAGAGGGGCAGGTGGCTCAGCACATGCTGCTGCCCAGCTGATTCCCGGCCCGCAGGACAGAGGGCAGGGGCAGAGCCAGGTTCAGCTCCAGGCCATGCCCTGGTGCCCTGCCCCTCCTGCCGCCACCTCCACGGTTACTGTATTGCCACCCCAGGGCAGGGACTGGGTTCCCCTCATCTGTTTCCCCACTGTCCAGCCCTAAGCAGGCCTGGGATGGAGCTGGGAACTGCTGCCGGATGAAGAGACACACTTGAGGAGAAGCTCGGCGGGAACACACGCAGACCCACATCCCAGCCCAGTGCCCACACACCTGCCTGCCCCTACCTGGACTGGCTCTTCCACGCTCTTGTTGAGGAAGTTGAGGGAACTGGCCCGCTTCATCCTGAAGGAAAAGGATAGCTGGGATTTGCCCATGGTGGAACTGGAGGAGGGCGGATGAAGGGGCCAGGCTGGGGAGGGAGGGCACGGAGAGGGGAGCCGATTTGGTGGGTGGTGGCGCCTGAGAGGGATGGGGCATCACCCTGGGTCAGCGGGACCCACTCTGGGTCAGGGGCTCCTCTGGAATTGTTGGGTGGCTCTTGAGAGGCTCACCTGGGGTTAGGGGTCTCCTGGGGGCCACCCCCCTGCAACTTCTTCACCAGCATCTCACTGCTGCGCCTCAGGGCATCCCGGAGCTTCCCAAAGGAGCCGCTGCGCCGCAACGAGCCGCTGCCGTCCTGTGGGGTGGATGGGCTTGTCTCCAAACCACACTGACTACCCAGGCTCCTGGCCCACCCCAGCCCCCAGACTCACCCCGCTCCACTCGGCTGCAGGCCCTGCCTCCTCGAGGTCAGACTCAGACCGAAGCCTGGCAACCCCAGCCCCATCTCGGCTGCCACGGTGCTCTCCCCGCCCACCACAGCCATCTTTCAGCAGTTCCACCACCTTGGTCTGGCTGGCAGGGTCCAGGCCCTGAGGGAGGGGCAAGGAGCATCAGGTCCTGATTGGCACACACACAAGACCACACAAGGCCCTGCCCACCCCCTCCTGCATGGAGCCCCACCTGCTTGCGGCTGCGGCTGGCACAGTCCTCCAGTGTATGTGCGGCTTCCAGCTTTCCCTGGCGCCGGTACAGGGCCCCTAAGCTGCGCAGGGTGGTGTTGACCGTGGGGCTGTGGACAGGACAACAAGAAAGTATCAAGCTCCATGTTCCCTCGACCCAGGAACCCTCCTGGCACCCAGCCCACATTGAGCCCTGTGGAACCATCCATCCAGCCAGGATCCAGCCCTTCCTGTGTTTCAGGCCCTGTACTAGGCCCGCCTAGCCCCTACCATCCTGGGGAAATCACCGCAAGGATGGGGAACTGACCCTACTGCCCTCACAGGATGTTTCCTCCAAAACCAAAAGCTGGGAGACCCAGGAGCAAGAGAATCAGGCTGTCCTAGTGCAGAAAGCCTCCTTGGGACAGGTGGCCTATGACTTGGGCCTTGAAAGATGAGCTGGCCAAGGAGAGGTGTGTGTTCTAGGGAGAGAGTATGGAGCGTGCTGCCCAGGCCTCGCCCCACCCACGATGCAGTTTCCCTGCTACCTGCTCCACCGCCAGCCCAGTCCCTGCTCCCTTACCTGTCTACTTTACAGGCCTTGTACCAGCTGCCATATTCTCCATAGGGGGTGCTGTCCCGGCGCTTATCCTGGGGAAAAGAATGGTCAGGGGAGGTGGGAGAAGGCACTCCCTGTGCCCTTCCTGGCCTCACCACCCTCCCCTGACACCTGCCCAGCCCCAGCCCACAGAGCTACCTTGCTCTCCTCCCTTTCCTCTGCGTGCATCCAGATGGGCTTGTTGTCCCCTGGGGGGAGAAACAGGACTGTCACCTGCCTACTCTGTAGGCCACTCCTGTTTGGTTTGGACATAGGACTAGGGTCTGGGGAGGGGTACAGGGGTACCCAGAAAGAAGCAGGGTTGGGCTTTGTTGAATGAATAAACAAAAACAGACCCAAAACATTACTCAGCCGCCTCTGCACACAGAGATGAGCACAGCACAGGGCTGCGTCGAGGGGCTTGGGAGTGGGGGCGGAGGAGGCGGACCCTTACACACCTCAGGCCCACAGCCCAAAACATGTGCTAGGCCTGAATGCTGGGCCAGGCTCCTAGGGATCCAGGAGCAGGAAATGACTGACCATAAGGGACCAGAAGGTGGTTACCCAGAAGGGGAGACATTTGGGCTTGGCCCTCAAGGTAAGCAGGTGGAGAAAGGGGGAGACTGTGGGTCAAGAGTGAGAGGTAAGCAAATGTGTGTGTGGCACAGGCAGGCCCAGGAAGCTGTGTGAGTCAGATGTATGTGCTCAGGTGTGCGGCTGTGAGCATCACCCAAAGGTGAGGCTGGGGTACCAGCCAGACCCCAGGCATGAGGGCCTGCCTGACTGAGGTCTTTGTGCTGGATGCTGATGGCCAAGTGGGCCTGTGCTGGATAGGCTGGAGGCCCATGGCGGTCATGGACTCACCATTGACTGAGCCAAACTCCTTCTCGTGAGCACGAGTGAGGATCTCCTTGTACAGGGTCTCTGCATCCTGGTACTTGCCCTGTTTCAGGTAGCAGGAAGCCTGAAGGGGCAGGGGCCCAGAGGGTGAGCAGGATGCAGGGAGGTGCGCCTCTTCCTCTCCTTCCTCCCCACAACCTCAGCCCTCCCTCCCTCCTTCCCATCCTTCAGCCCCTCCTCGCCCTCGGGCACCAGGTTGTTCTTGGTCTTGGCCACGTTGGGGTCATCAGGCCCAAGGCGTGTGGCATAGATCTCCAGTGCCCGCCGGTAGTAGTATTCCACCTCCTCAGCCTTGCCCTGGTTCTGGCACAGCAAGGCCAGGTTGCTGAGCTGCTTGGCCACATCTGGGTGAAACTTGCCCAGGACCTGGGATGGGAGGAGCCAGTGGCTGGGTTCAGGGCTTCCTGGGCCCCTGGCTGCCCAGCCCCCCTGGCCCGCCCGGCCCTGCCCACTCCCACCTTCTCCCGGATCTCCAGCGCCCGCTTGCACAGTGGCTCGGCCTCCTTGTACTTGCCCCGCTTGCCATACAGAACCGCCAGGTTATTTAGCGTTGCAGCCACCTGTGGGGGTGTGAGAATGGAGGCTCCCTGATGCAGGGGTCTGCTGAGCAGGGATTCTGGGACCTGGGAGCTGCCAGGGGTGGGGGGCAGCCCTCACCTCCCACCCAAGCCTCATCACTCACAGCTGGGTGGTCCTTGCCCAGTGTCTTCTCCCGGATGGCCAGGGCATCATTGAGCAGGTGGGCAGCTTCCTTGTATTTGTTCTGGTCCCTGGAAGCAGGCAGCACCATGGTCAGAGTTGTCCTCCAGCCCAAGGCCCTCCCCCAGTGGCCTTGGATCCCTATGGTCACTCCTCCTGCATTCACTGATGAGTGTGCATGTTGGAGCATGACCCAGAGCATGGGGAGACCTGCTCAGCCCCTGCACTCCAGGAGCTTGGGGGCTTGGGCAGCTCACTTCCAGCTTGCCTGGCATGCAGTGCTGGGGTGTGCGCACCACCTCATGCCTAGTCCCCTGTGCCTGATAGAACTTCTCTGCCACTACTCAAGGGACCTTGCTCTTAGTCCCCGGCCCTCAGAAATGAGCTCAGGCCATGATTTCTGCCACAGAAACCTTTTCCAACCCTCTTGTGTTCTGGGCAAACTCACCTTCCACCAAAACCCCCACTCAAGCTTTGGTGCCTGAAGAAGCATGCCCACTCCCTGGGACCCCCGGAGGCCCCCTCCCCGGTTATGTCCAAACCCTTCTCCTCCACTAGACTGAGGATTATTTACATCTGTAGCCCAGCTCCATGCAGGCCTTTCTTTCTGCCCCCCAACTGCCCGGTGGAGCCCATGTCCTGGCCCACAGCAGGCACCCAGGGCTATGACCCAGGGCTGGAGCCTTCTTGAAGAATGCAGGTGCCCCCAGGGATGACTGTGGCCTGAAGAGCCCTCACCGATAGACCAGCGCTAGGATATTCAGCATAGTGGCCACATCAGGGTGGTCATGGCCTGATGTCTTCTCCAGGTCCTCAAGCGCCTGCTTGCAGAGTGGCACTGCCACCTCATAGCGGCCCTGCGAGGCATACTGGATCACCAGGTTGTGCAGTGTACGGAGCCGTGCTGGGATCTCATAGCCCCCATGCTGGGCAGCCACATCTCCTCCTCCAGGGCTGGGGGCTGCAGAGCCAAGGGCAGAAGGTCAGATGTATCATCTACCCACTGGGCTGGGCTGGCATGTGCCAGCCTTGCCTTTGACCCACCTGACATATGGCCCTAGGCAAGTCACTAACCACCCTGTCTCAGTGTCCCTATATCTAGACTGGATCTCACTATCCCATAGAAAGAGTGAGTAGAGTCCCAGCTCCAATACTTCAAGCTGTGTGTCCCGGAGCCCTAACCCCTAACCCCTGAGCCTCAGGTTCCTCATCCGCAGAGTGGAGGCTCTGATCCATGCTGAGCACCATGTGCAGGGCAAGCCCCGGACCGGCTGGGCACTGTCTGTGCACGTGTCTCCTTTCACCCTCACAGGAAGCTCAGAGAGGAAAAGAAACCCTCCTGGTGACCACAGAGCAGCCAATGGCAGAGCAGGACTTGAATGCCAGGCCTGGCAGCTCCAGAACTCATAACTGTGATGTTTGCTCCTCACAGAGCTTGGGGGATGAGAAGCAGCCACGAGAGCCGGCTCAGAACCTCTCACGTGCTGGGACATTATGATCAGAAATGAGGAAGGAAAGAGAAATGGCAGCCATTCAGTCCCTGTTTCCTGTGACTGCTGGGCCAAGGACCAGGAGTTCACACAGCTCTTCTTTCCCCCAACCCAGAACCAACCGTCCATCCGCACCTGGGTTCTGTTCATCCTCATTAGGGAACAGGTCATCCAGAGAGTCTTTGGGGACATCCCCCTTCTCCTCCTGGGGGGGAAGACAGGATGAGCATCAGGGAAGGAGGCATGGGGTGGCCATGTGTCAGTGGGCCGGGTCTGAGATGAGTTTGCACTGTGCTGCCCCTCCCTGCTCCCAGGCCCCCTCGCCCAGGTGGCAGCGGCCGCGGCGAGGCTCACATTGGGGGAGGCATCCTCATCAAGCTTGCGGATCTGGCTCATGAATAGCAGGTGCTGCTTCTCCTCCTCCAGCTGGGCCACGGCCTGCTCACTGCGCTGCAGCTTCTGCTGCGTCCCTGCCAGTTCCTCCCGTAGCCACTGGTTCTCCTGTACCAGGCGCCGCACCTGAGCCCGCAGCTTCTGCTTCTCTGACTCTACGGCCCCCAGGTGGCTTGACAGTGCCAGGATCACCTGTGCAGCCGGTGGGGATAAGCATCAGAGCCCTGTCCACCCCCAAGCCTGCAACTCCAGACTGGGCCTCCTGCAGCTCTGGGGATGAGTGAAGAGCCAGGCCTGGCCTTGCCTGTGAGGAGCTGCAGGGCCTCAGGCCTTGGAGCTCTCCCCTTCTCAAGGGAGATTCCAACCCCAAGGCCCCAAACAGACTGTAGTCCAAGGCTCAAATCCAGGAGCCTTGGAGGTCCCTGACTCATTCCTTCTGGGGTTAGGAGGACCCCAGAAGAGGGCTAGTTGGGGTGCTGTGCTTTCCCTGAGCTACCAAACTCTTCCTGTATCTCTCCTGCCAGTTGTACTCAAGCCCCTGCAGCCACAGACACTATACCACTGCTTCCTGCCCCAGGGCTAGCCCAAAAAACCCTGATAGGTGGCTGAAGGGCCACTGAAAGACCTCATCCCAACTTCTGCCAAGGGTCCCATGGTACCCTTCTGTTTCTGCAGCTCCCAGGTAAGGAAAGGGAATGTGTCCCAAACCCCGAGATGGTCTAAGGAACTACTCTTCTCCCCAACCTCTGGCTCCTTTCCTGAGCTTCCAGGCTCTTCCTGCCTTGGGGCCTAGACATAGGCTCCACCCTCCTTTCTCCATCCTTCACAGTCCAAGGTCATTTCTGCAGGGAAGCTTCTTCCCAGTCGTGCCTTCCCCTCTGCTCCAGCTCCACACACGGCCTCGCTGCCTGTGCATTCTGCACCATCCTGTTCCCTGTCTGTGAGGATGGCTGTGCACCACTGGAAGTAGAGCCCCTGTATGGTCATCCTGCACCTGACAGCCAACTGGCCAAGGAGTGAATGACCAACACATTGCCCTTTGAGAGGGCCAGCAATCTGGGACCCTGTACTTTTTACTTGGTTAGCAAATGCCTAAGTGACAGGTGTTTTCATAATCACTAGCTTTAAAAAAAATTCCCTAAACAGCCTGGAAGTATATACAGCAGATGGCATGATCCTTATTTTAAAGGCAAGGAAACCAAGATGATACAACCTACCCAAGATTGACGGAACCAGGCAGGGGCTGGGCCAAGATCTGTAGAGCCTGCCACCTTGTAGGTCCCAATGCCTCCTGGACATCTCTGTCTGCATATCATCCTGACAGCCCAAATGAATGAGGCCAAGACAGGACTCCTGATCCACCCACCCGGCTCTCTCAACCCTTAACTTGCTTAAACCACAAACCTGGGCGTTATGCTGCCTTCCTCTCTCTCCCTTACTCCATTCCCAGGACCTGCTGGACTTACCTCCAGATCATCTGGAACTGGTCCCCTTCTCTCCTCCCTCCTGGCCATCCCTTTAGTCTCATTTGAACTCCAGCAGTAGCTTCCTAACCACTTGCTACCTGCTTCCATCCCTGACCCACTAAGGTTTATTCTCAACATCTCAACCAGAGGGAATTTTTAAAACCTAAGTAAGATTGTGCCCCCTGCTGCTTAAAGCCCTCCAAAGGCTTCCTGATTTCCTGAGAATAAAACCCAAACTAACAAGGCCATGATCTGGCTCCTGCCTTCTTCATGGGCCTCTTCTGTCCCTCTCTCCTTCCCTGTGAAGCTCCAGCCACAAAGTTCTTCTTTCAATCCCCCACCACAGATCTTTCCTACCTCAGGACCTTTGCACATGCAACACTCCCCACTTCCCCTTTTCTGGAGGTGGGTTCATTGCTTCCTTCAAGTCTTGGTTTAAATGTTATTTTCTCAGAGAAGTCTTGCCTGACCAATAGATAAGACCCCCTGCTATAAGCTGTCACAAGATCCTGTTCATTTCTTGGGATCATTTATCACAATTTGTAACAATGAATTATTTGGGTATGTATGTTTCCATCTCTTTTCCTACTAGACCAGGGCAGGGATCTTGTCTGTCTTGTTGGACCCTGTATCCCTGGCACCTAACACATTGCCTGGCACATATCTATTAATGAATGAATAGAAGACTAAGTTGAGCGAGTGTTTCCTTAAGGATTTCCTTTCTGTTCTCCTATGCCATTCAGTCTCTGTTAGGTAGAGGGGAGCCAGGGACAGGGTTCTGTGTGGGCGCAAGTGTGACCGGGGTCTCTTTGAGCGGGGTAGGGGTCTCCAAAGTGCATTCAGTTCTTCAACAGATATTTATTGGGATCTTAACATGGGGCTCCAGGGGACAGGTGGTTCCCTGCTCAGATTCTGTTCCTGCATCACTGGGATTCCTCTGGAAAGCTCGATCCCTCCACTCTACTGTGACCTTCCACCTCAGCGCCCCAGACAAGCCTACCTGGGCTTCCCCCAGCCCCAGCTCGATGGCCTCCAGGGAGCGGCGCAGGACGACACAGCGCTCCTGAGAGCCTGGCTCGGCCTCGCTCGCCTCATGAGCGACCAGGGGAGCGAGCAGGGCACGATGCTCCCCGCGCAGAGTCTCCAGTCCCTGGATGACGGCCTTGGTTCCCAGCACGATCTCATCCTGGCTCAGCTTCTCTTCCCGCGTAAGCACCATGGTGGCCATGGTCGTGCCGCCTGTGAAGGCGAAGGGCGGGCAGGCGAGCGCGGGGCCTGGGGACCACGCCGCCGTCCGCCCCCGATTAGGTAAACACTGGAGGTCCCGCACGCCTGGGTCCCCGGGGCGCCGAGGTCCCCCAGCTGGCAGCCCGCACCGTGCTCGCGCTTGGCCTACAGGGGGCGCGCCCGGCTCGTCTGGGCTGGGGAGACGCAATGCGGTGCGGCGGGTGAGGCCGGACCCTGACTCGGTCCCAGACCACCGGCTTTGGCCAGAATAGGCGGCCCACTCTCGGGGCTGCCCTGGGGACACCCCTTCTCAGCGCAGGGAGCACCGGGGGACGGTACGGGGTAGCGGGGGCTCACTCCCGTGCGGGAGACGAGGCTCCTCCGGGCGACCTGGCCCCAGCCCCTCAGACAGCCCCCTCCTCAACAGGCACACCTGGCCGCAGGGCCCCTCCGATCAGGAAGGCCGGGCCCGCAGACCCTCCACTGGAGGGGCGGAGAACTCCGGTCCCCGGTCCCTCCAGGCCCCGCCCACGACGACCCCTCCCATAGGCCGACCCGGAGCCCCCTCCCCTGCAGGGACTGACTCCCTTTCCTGGCCCGATCAGCCGCGCCGACCTGAGCCTCCCGCTCGGGCTCCAGCTCCTGCCCCGCTTCACCAGGACCCGCAGCCAGGAGCGGGTCCCGCAGCCTCCATCCCGCCGGCCTTCCCAGCAGTCCTCGCGCCGCCTTAAAGGTGAAGCCGCTACCTCGGCGACGTCGGAGGGGGCGAAACACTCTTCTTGGCCGGGTAGCTGCCTTAAAGGAGCGCTCCGGCCGGGCGGGCTCCACGGGAGGGGGAGCGGGGCGGGGCTGGCAGCGGGGGCGTGGCCATCGAGGCGGCGCACAAGGTACTTAATTTGATCTTATGCATATTTAAGCAATAAAAAATAATTTAATTCAAATTTAGGAGCTCCAGGAGAATTATTTTTTCTTCACAAAAGGCATATTACTCTAGTTTGAGAAACAAATCTATTTCTTTTGTTCAGTAGTAGTTTTGCCATTGTTAACCTCTGGCCTTATAGATAGATGAATAATTGGTATATTTGGAATGTGTAAATATTCTTGATTTACTTTCATACAAAGAGTATGAAAACTCAGCAAATAATCTTGAAATCCTAGCATTCCAATAGAAAAAAGACCCACCTCTATAAAATTTTAAATTTCTATTTTTTGAGACCTTAACTTGATTTTCAACAATTAAGAAAATGATTTATAGTTCATAAATCATTTTTTTAAAATTATATGATCATCTTATTCTTATGAAAGTCTCATGAATCAGAAGACATGGCTGCAAATATAGTTTTTAGAGCCAGATTGTCCTGAGTATAAATTTCTAATGTGTTATTTATACTTGTGTGACCTTGGACAACTTATATCACTTCTCCAAGAGCCTCACCCATGTGAAGATAATATTGGTACCTACTTCAGGCAGTCGTGAAGATTACCAAGATGATCTATGTGAAATGATCTATGGAAGAGAGTGAAATATGGTATTCGTTAATATCCTTCTGATTGTGATTTGATCAAAATATTTCCAGATGGGAGTAAGAGATTTGCCACTCTGGTTTTCTAACTATCTGATTTTGTATAATTCACCTAATCTAGTTCTCTCATCTGCAATATAAGGTTGTTAGACCAAATAATTTCTTCACTCTCTTTTGTGGCTACATTGCTCTTAATCTCCTGAGTTCTCAATGAGAAAGGACATATGACTGAAATATATCTCTACTTTATCTTACTTGAAATCATTAGGGTCAGTTGTGTTTTGAAATTCAAAAATATTTGTATTTTAGAAAGTTTACACACTGCATGTACCAAGTATTATATAATATTCCCTAGCAGGATCTGGGGCAGAAGCCTATAATCAAATATATTAGGATTTCTGCAATAAAACATATGACTAGCCACACTAAGTAGGATGCATGAAAATTGTAAATAGCCTTACATTATTTTATGTTTGATTTCTGCCACCAAATGAGTTCGGATGCCAAGGTTACATAAAATTTTTGGTTTTTCAGAGGTTTTAGATTTTAGAGTTATAGATAAGCATTTTGGACAGGTATAAACTACTCCATGGATTGCTTCCTCTATTAGAAGCATGTTGTGATAAAAAAAAATAATATAATAGGACTCAGAATTCTGGATTCAGGAACTCTGAATACATCCTTGACTCTTACGAGACCTCACGGGTGTGCAGCTGCTTGGAAGACCCGAAAGCATCCGGATTGGTGGCCAGCGAGGACGACGGGAGAAACTGAGGCCCAGGGAGAAGGCCCGGCCCCCTCGGAGTCCAGAGCGAGACAGTTGACATTTATTGAGGCAGTTGCCACTTATTGGGCGCTTACTGTGTGTCGGGATCATTGGTGCTTTAAGTGCATTAATTTAATGCTTGCAAAGACCCGTTGAAGTGCGTGGTGCTGTTATCCGCATCTTCTTGCGGATCTGACCTCAGGCTCATTTGTCCCTACAGATGTTATTCGCCTCCCCCCCCCCCCCATTGTCCATGTCCCTGTAGGGAATTCACGGCATCTTGGGGTCGCTTCGTAGGGGAAGGGACGGAGGCTTCTGGCAAGGGGCAGGCAGGCAGGCATCAGTGGAGAAAAAGACTCATGCCCCTGTGGGTGAACACCACAGCCGATGCTGTTGCCCAGATGATCAAGACAAAGTGGAGGTCTTTGGTCTGTGACGAGGTCATTCGGGGCTCAGATTGTCACTTCCTCAGAGCGGCTTTCCTTGAGTCCCAGCCCCCCATCTAGAGCAGCCTCGAGTCCCTCCCGTGCATTCATTTAATTCTCTCTATAGTGGCATCCCTTCTAACATTTTTCTTGTTGGTTTGTATTCTCCTCCTTGCAGTGCAGGCCAGAGCCTGTCTGTCTTTTTGCTCCCAGAGTAGCCCTGGTCGGGTACACAGCAGCACTCAGTAAATGTGGGTTTTTTAAAAAGGCAGAAGGATGCACCTGTTGGCCTTGCCAAGGCCCTCCCAAGCCCATGCTCTGGTCTGATTCTCTGCAGCCTTAGGTCAGTGGCCACCTGGCACTTTCCCCACCACTTCTACGTTGATGGTGCTAGGAACTGACAGCAGGATGACCACCCGAGGGATAAAAGCTGCACAGCAAGGCCTGTGTTCCTTCTGAGCCAGGAGGTGTTCAGAATCAGAATTCACCGGGTTCACCATCCTGGTAGCTGCCAGAATCCTCTTTGAAAGAGAGGTGGTCCAGCACCCTTATCTTGAGTACATCTTGTGACAGGGAGCTCACTGTCATACATTCTATTGCGAAACAACTCTAAAGGTTAGAAAGTTTTTTCCTAACTCCCAAAGTGCCTTCCTACAATGCTCACCCACAGCTGAAGCTCTGTATTCAGGAAGAAGTCTTGCTCCCTTTTGCCAATGAAAATACTTGGAGACAGCGATGGTGCCCCACCCAGTCTAGTCACTGCCTAGGCTAACTAACCTTTATCCAGTCGTACAGCAGTTTCCTGACCCTTCCCATTCTAATGTCTGCTTTCTGGATGTAATGTTGCGTGTCAGTCCAGACCCTGCTCTCAGAATGTGGTGCTCAGCCCAGGGCTCAGTGATCGAGACTGGGAATGAACTGCACAGATCGCAGAGGATGGTGCCCCTAAGTGAATGTGCCACCTTTTCACCCATGAAGCTGCAAGTCAGGCTTTGACAGCCACCACAGGTGAAGCATGTAGTCAGCTAAGACCCCAGATCATGTACATCTTAGTTACATCCAGCCATGTTCTTCTCTGCAATCCTGTGCTTCTGCTGGTGATTTTTTTCCAGATAGTTAATACTTTGATATGATGCAACATTCAAAAGGCATATGTACATACAAGTAACATGAAATGTAGTTCTCTCCCTGACTGCCGTCCTTAACCATCTAACTCCCCTCCCCAGAAACACCTGCCTTTACCAGTTTCCTGTGTCCATCGATTGTTGTTTGCATCTGGGCCCAGCTTGAGTTTTCAGTTTCAGCTGGTCAGTTTTCCTCCAGAGCCCCTGAAGGTTGGGGTCTTTTGCATTTGGTGTCTGTCGTCCTTTGACCCTTTGAAAGGCACACTGGCTGCAGTTGATAAGCCTGCCTCCATGCACAGACTCCATCAGACCATGACTGCATTCCCAGCTCACCAGCATGTTTTGTTCACAAGGATGAAACAGAATCTGGAGCCCAGGGCACCTTTGTTCTTAGCCAGGCTGGGTTTCAGAGTCTCGTGGGAAAGAACTTTGTTAGGAGGCTCTCCCTCTGGAGGTTGGGATTAGGTGATACCAGGGTGGGCCCTGGGCATCTAAAACCTTACAATTTCCCCAGTGCCCATGATGTGCACCCCAGGTGGAAGCTGCTGTTTCAATGACTTTGTTTTACAAAGGAAACTGAGGCTCAGAGAGGGCAGGGCTGGCTTTTTACCCTGCTATTCTTTTTTTTTTTTTTGTCCTTTTTTGTGACTGGTAAGGGGATCGCAACCCTTGGTGTGGTGTTGCCTGCACCGCGCTCAGCCAGTGAGCGCACCGGCCATCCTTACATAGGATCTGAACCTGCGGCGGGAGCGCAGCTGTGCTCCCAAGTGCTGCACTCTCATGAGTGCACCACAAGGCCGGCCCTACCCTGCTATTCTCCGGGAGCTCAGGCTCCCAGTGACAACTTCATCCTTCTTGAATCTTAAGTCCAGGTCATTTTGTCCCAGTGTGTGAGGGAGACTGAGTACGTGGAGTAGATGTCAAGAGAACCAAGGCCAAGTTGCTTGTTGACACCCCCACAAAAGCATACCCTCGAACATAGAGCCTGAGGCAGGTTCATGCGGAGGCTGTGCTGCCCACACACCCCTCTGCACACATATGTGTTTTCAGGGCCACGTGCTACATGCAGCCCGTGCCCAGCTGCAAATACACACCCCCAGCCCTGCTTTCTTCCCTGGTCCTTTTGCTCCATCTAGTCAAGGAGCGCATTGCTTTTATCACCTTTTCCCAGGTAAACGGAGAGAACATTTTTCAGTCTCCTTTATGACTTGGCTAGTTCCTTGCTCCAGCTTTTCTGCTGTCTGTTTTGCTGGTTTCTTTGTGATTCTCTTAGGTGGCTGGCCCTGCTCCTTCCTTTGTGCAGCGGAGCGAAGCCTGGGCCTGCTGGTTCTCATGCTCTTATCTTGCTTTCAGCACTTAACCTTGCATATGTCCAACCTTTTCAACCACTTGGCTTTTTATCTTGTCTCTGAGGATTACACTGTGCATCTCTCAAGGGAAGGGACTGTTACTTCACTTTGCAGTGTCCTGCACTCCCCCGACAGCCACTGGTCTCATGCCAGGCTGCTGATGGGTGCTCAATAAAGGGAGAATAAAGGAAGGATTCCATGCTCAATGGTGATTCAGCTCCTTATGCTATTTTCCGTAGTGCTTAGCACCTCCTCCCACCCCCCAGCCCATGTCTGGGGAAGTTGTTCTTGCTACTTTTAATATTGTTTTCTCCCTGAAAATCACTCCCACTTCTCCTACCCTGTCCCTTTGGATCCTCGGAAGCACTCATCCCACTGAAATCTGCTTTCTTAAATTATTCTTTTTCCTTTGGCTGGCTTCCCTCTTTTTCTTTGAGGTGGTTGTGGGGTACTTTCGCCAAGGCTATCATCCCACCTGAAATGTCAGTGGATTCACCCATAACTGCTGAGATCGGCGGC